GGCTACAGAGAGAAGGCCAGGAGAGCGACACCCCCCCGGCGACTCCGAGGGGGGGGGCGGGGGGGGGGGGCTGGCAGGATTGGGGAGGCATTTAAATGCCTCCCCATGCCTTCCCCAGCCTGTCCAAGGGCGGCTTGTCTGGGCTCCCTGCAGCCACGGGGCACCTAAGCAAGCCTTCCCTTCCCTTCAAGGGGGGGCTTGCCTGGGCTAGCCAAAGGAAGGCATGGGGTGTGGCCTAATATGCTAATGAGCGGCACTGTCAGAGTTTGGCCTAATATGCTAATGAGTTTCTGCTGTTGGGTGTGGCCTATTATGTTAATGAGTTCCTGCTGGGCTTTTTCTACAAAAAAAGCCCTGACTATTAATATTTCACTAGGACTCCCAAGTTGTACTTCTAGTGATGGTAAGTAATCTCCCAGAGATGAACACTTGAGCAAGCCCCGCAGAGATGGGTGGGCAGGGCTCCTGGGCCCTTGGGCAAGCTGCTCCCCGCTCGCCAAAGGGGCTGGGGCTCTCGTTTATTCTGACTGAAGCCCTCGCCTTCCCACACAGGCCTTTTCCCTAACCTACTTCCATCAGCATACTGCAGCGGTTGCACATGGTAAAAAGACAGGGCAGCTATGGTTTCTCTTTAAATTACCTCGAAAGCTCCATGTGTTTGCTCTTTCGAGCTTTTAGCTCTTCGTTCTCCTGCTGAGGTTTCCTCCATTTCTCCACTAAGGCTGTGTTGTTTTCCACATTGCAGAGAAAAGTGTGTAAATACAAGTTATTTGATGTACATACGTAAGTGAAATCAGGTTGCTGTATTATGCCATTATATTGAGTTCAAAAACAAGGTGAACATAACTCAAAACACATAGCAAGCATAAAACCATGGTCAAAAAGCAACATTTTGCTATTCTTTCACCAATAAAAGCATTATTGATTGGTTCCAGGTATAAACTGGTAACTGCCATTTCCTTGACAGATGATATCTTACAGACCTGAAGTCAACTCCTCATCTCTCCAGAATAACTTGATGCATGGTGTTCAAATCACTAAACACCAAGTCTTATCCCCATGTGGATCCCCATTTACTACTGTTATCACTTTGCAAAATCATATCTTCTTAGCCTAAGTAACCTGTTTGGATTGCAGACCAGTCATGTTTGAGACACAGTGCAATTCTTTACAGTCTCAGACTTGTACTGGAGAAGCCTGCGTGAGAATCCCCAACCAGAAGAAGATGAAGAAGAGGAGATTGGATTTATACTCCGCCCTTCACTACCCAAAGGTGTCTCAGAGCGGCTTACAAACTCCTTTCCACTCTCCTCCCCACAACAGACACCCTGTGAGGTAGGTGGGGCTGAGAGAGTTCTTGACAGAAACGGCTCTTTTTCAAGAACAGCTCTTATCAGAACTACGGCTTGCCCAAGGTCATCCAGCCAGGTGCAAGTGGAGGAGTGGGGAATCGAACCCGGTTCTCCCAGATTAGAGTCCGCGCACTTAACCACTACACCAAACCAGCCATGATGATCACACCCCACTACTTCACAAGACTGTTCTGAGGATGCCATGGGAAGAAATCCCAGAGGTGCCACCCTGGACTCTCTGAAGAAAGGATCAAAGACGTACAGTGAGGAGTAGGAGTGTTTATGAGCATAACATTATGGTGCAGCTGGTCGGTAGCAGAATGATAACATCTACACACATACAGAGGGGAAAATACCTATAATTTGTGTGCGTAAGAAAAAACAACCACACTAACAACCTTGCCATGCATCCAAACAGCTCACACTTGCTTAATATCTTCTTTTACATGACATAATTCCTAACAAGGTTGATTCACACAAGGCCAGATTTCCTATGTGGAATCTCACATGAAAAACCCCCACACAACTGCTTTTCCATGGCAAATTAAACCCTGGTCTGGGTTGGGTGGGTTTTTTTTGCATATGTATGCATCTCACATAATGAAATTTTCATGGGAGCTATGCCTTATTTCATCTGCAGAAGAGATTCTTGTTTGAAATGGTAGTTCTCTAAGCAGTTCTTGGTTGAAGCTCAACACAGTTAACCTTTCAAAGATTCCAAACAATTAGTGCCTTATACATCCCAGCATTAGAAACTTCTTGGGATCCTCTCACTGTCTTTCTTCTGCCTTTGGAAGTCAAAAATTTCCATCAGCAATGCTAATCTGCACCAATTTTTTCCAAAGGCCCTGAGCAATGCCACTAGATGTGGAAATATCTAGTAACACCTTTCTGCAGTGAGGAGTTTGCGGCACGGAATACAAATGAACCTCATGCATACAAAGCCTGTTTTGTGTTACTCTGCAGTGCTGGAAAAGTTTGCAGCTAGATGGACCAGCTTTAGCTCTTGAGAAGAAAGCATTGTTGGGTGGTATAGAATAAATCCTTACTTTTCTCTTTGGTCATCACAGTGACATCAAGGAATTTACAGAGTGAATATATACTTGAACTGCAATATTAAAAACCAGGGTGGAACACTTTCAGATCTTAAATGTTACATATTTAGGTAAATTCTCTTATCAGTAGGGTGGAATCAAAACCTATAGCTAATTATTTTGCTGAGGAGTTGCATGGAAGATAAACCTTCTTAATAGCTCTTCCCCCCAAAAAAAAGTTTGAAATATATTACCTCCATAACAGATTATGAAATACTACCCATGTCGAAATTAAGGCTCAGAGAAGGACAACTTTCTCATGAGCTTGCTACATATATTTAGGATTTAAATTTGAAGGGGGTACTTCCAGTTTTAGCAGCTACACTGCACAAGTCTAATGTAGACTAGACACCATGTGCTGAAAAAAGCCTATGTTCTTGCAGGGTTAAATTTTGCTTCCTGAAATCGGCTAGAGACTAACTGATATACTTTAACTCCTGACATATTGGTGTCCTTTCCAACTTATTTCAGCACCTGAGTTATAAGTATAGTGTAAATTGTGCAGAAACAAGCACAAATTCAGATTTTAGAGGACTCTACACTGCACCCAGGAAAATCTTACCATTTTTTCCATGTTCAACAACTTCTTATCTTGTTGATGCAGTTTCTCATTCTTGATCTCCAGCACTGCTTTTAAACTTTCCAGCTCTTGTTCCAAATACATGATCTGAGGGTTTTTCTGAAAAATTACAACCAGAAGAGTTTAGAGACATCTCTTTTCCAGATACACAGAAAACATGTTAGGAATTTAATATAGGCTGTCCAAGCCACAGTGGATTTTTATCAGTGTACCAGCACACCCTTTACCTAGCATGTCATTGTATGGAGGGGGGAAACAAGGGGAAAAAATCTCTTTAAAACAAAGCTCTTTGGAAGGCACTCTACAGGCTGGCTTTATAGCCCTGTTTGTACTCTTGTAAACTTATTTTACTGGTGTAAGTGATGGCAGATAATTCAGATCAGGATTCTATTGCTGTCTTTTTAAAAAGTTATTCATGGGTCAGCCTAAAGAAAAGCACACATGGCAATAAGAACTGCACAAGGACTTCAGCTCTGAAACCACAAAGAAGTGATATTGTGATGGGAGAAAGGAAACCCCGTCAAACCTATCCTTAGTTGTTTTACAGCTAAATATAATGATAGCATACAAAGTGTTTGTGGCTCTTGAAGAAAACGTTGACCTTAAAAGCTGTGTTTAAGGTTACAACTGTATTGATCAAATGATTTCTTATGAGGAGCCAGCAATATTAAGTGCACATCTCCAAAAAATTAAATATTGTACATAATTATAATGATTAGACCACTACATACGTCCAAACATCTTCTCTCTCTCTCTAGCTACTTTCCCTTTGCCATCTTTTTAACGGTTAGCAATAAGCCCAAAGTAAAAAAAAAATTCAATTAAGAACATGTCTTTTAGACACATCCAAAAGGTAAAGATTCCAAAACCAAAAGGTGAAAGAGAAAGACATTCAAAGAGAGAGACCCAGATATAATCTTTCCAGGCACTTAGTATCTTTCAACTTAAACTATATGAACCAATGAAATTTGCCAAATTTGTGAGGTGGATTAGGCTGAGAGTGTGTGTCCAGACCAAGTTCACCCTGCACATTTCCTTTGTAGGAAGTGGTAGTTATTTCTCTGGGGAAGAAGTTTTGTAGACAAACACACAGCCCTCAGTCTGTGTCAGGATGCCTTCTCATGTTCTTGACCAGCACATGAAGCAACTTATGTACAAAAGGTTGCAATGCCCAGCCATTTCATGTTTTCCATTAGGTCCTAGGCTCAGAACACTGAGCATGAGATTTCTGCAATGAATATCAATAAATCAAAAGTAGGTTTGCAGCTTAAAGATACCTGAACAGCATACTGAAGATTGCTACAGCACAAACATTTTGATACAATAATTCAGAGCAAGAGGTGTCAGTTATCAAAAACTGTTAAATAGACAAAATATTGCAAGAGTGCTAGTGTTTTGAGCATGTTTTATTTAAAGTTTTAAAAATCTTTGTGTTTGTCTGTGTCCTTTATAAAGTTTATATCTCCACTACCTATCATTACATTTTATGACACACATGGCCCGGCCCAACAAGGTCTCATTTATGTCAGATCTGGCCCTCATAACAAATGAGTTCGACACCCCTGGTCTAAGCTATGCTTCAAACTATTAAGAACAGGGCAGACCATATTCTCTTTGTTTACAGCAAACTGAGCATAGTAGAGTTACTCACTAAACCCTGCCTTTATATCTAATTCCATGTGTGCCAGCTAAGAAGATCTGTTCATGCTCTTACTTGCAGGCACTTCAGAACACATATAAATCTTTCAAAACAGAAATTGCTCATGGTAGGATGGGCAGCAAATGGCAGAGGCACTCAAAAGACCTCTAAATTTATATAGAGGTTGCCCAGCTGTACACTTAGATTTAAGTTCAAGTTGGTACTTACAAGATTTGCTTTTTCTTTGGCTATTCGTTTTTGCTCTTCCAACTTCAGCTTTTCATTCAGGGAATCATTTTCACTCTGTAACTCGGCAATTTTTTTCTGAAAGGTAAAATAACTTGAATTATTATTTAGTCCATTCAACTCAAGCCAGGCTTCTAATTGGTCTTACAAATTCACGCACAGTCGAAATGAGAGCACTGTAAAGAGAAATGTTGGACTCAGATCATGGGATCATAGAGTTATAGTCTATACCTGAGCTTTTCATCACAGAGCCAATAATGAATATTTTAGGAAAGGTTAATGACAAAACTGAGTGGACACATGTTGGAAAGGGCTGACAAGAAACAGTAACAAATACTACAACTAATAAGAATCCAAGGTAAGATTCCATGGAAATTGAGGAGCTAGGTTATACTTTAGAGAAAGAATGTTCTATATCAGGTTTGTCTTCACTGGTCAGTTGGTCTGAGCAAGAAATACAGGTTTAAGCAAGAAGAGTCACATTGTCTAGTCTCAGATTATGTTTCTGCAGATGGGGAAGGCTACTAAAAATACCAGAAATTCATGCAGGTTCTTTAGAACAGGTACAGTTGCCATCCTCCAGGTGGGGCCAAGAGATCTCACAGAATTACAACTTATCCCCAGACTACACAGATCAGCTCCCTGGAGAATATGGCCACTTTAGAAGGTGAACTGAACTGCATTATACCCTAAGGTCCCTCTTCTCCCCCCACACCCCGGGCTCCACCTCAAAATCTTCAGGAATTTTTTGTTGGGTTTTGCAAGTGTCATCCCTTCAGTCATGAAAGGGTTAAGCTGAAACTTCTGTAAGTTAAACGATAACAAGTTTAGCATGGAGCCAACTAGGTGTAGAGTACATTCTTCCCACCAAAAAGGGGGAAGTTATTCTTAAAGAGGTGACCGTAAGGTTTACTACTGGCTAATCAGTATATTGGAGGTAGTTTGTGATATTCTGCACGTATACAAGGGGTAGAGCTTTTTTTTGGGGGGGGGGAGAACATCCATCCCTTCCTTCTTAGAGAGAGAGAGGGAACAAAGAAACACGATGGAGCAGATCAGAACTAGAAAGATGAGTTAGACTGTTGTTTCCTTTTTATGGAATCCTTTCCCTAATTTCTGAAGTAAACCTTTTCTTAGAAGTTAAACACACACCTGTCTGTGCGGCATTTATTCCACTGTGCTTCATTTACTCTGCTAAATATCCAACAATTTCCCAACCTGTAGCAGGCAACTCTAAGAGCAAGTGGGGGTACGGAATTAGCGTTAGGCTTCAGAAAGAAGCAGTACGAGTTACAAACCCAAGATATATGCCGATTGTACTGTTATGGCAGAATACAACTCTTTATTTTCTGGGTGCCTGTAAATCCAAAAAAGAGAAATCCAAACCTCTAGTTCTTCGTGTTTCTCTTGGAACGATTCTTGAAGTGTCTTTCTCTCCGATTCATGGGCATCCTTGAGCTCTGAAAAACGTTTAAAGGATCGTTTAGTTTTGAGTGAGAAGTGCGCTTGCCTAATGCTCAGTTAGATGCCAGTCTGGGGCACCGTTCAGACCAACAAGATTTCCAGGGTATAAGCTTTTGAGAGTCAGCGTTCCTTTCATCAGATATGGCAAGCCCCCAAAATCTTGTTCGTCTCTAAGGAGCTACTGGACTCGAATCTAGCTATTCTACTGCAGACCAACACGCCTACCCTGTGAAACCTGCTTAATGTTCAGTAACAATCGTCCCTACAAGTCCTAGATTATATGATGTTAAGCAAACTGGAAAATCAGATCATCATCATTTTGTTAGGGAAAACACAAGCTGATCTCAATAGAATGCAAGATGAAAAACGCTGGGTATGTTTGATGTCATGACAGAAATATTCCCTACAATTAACAAGGTCCCCACCCTTCTTGAGCCTGCAGGCAACTTTGGAAACTTTGCACGTGGGTGGTGAGTGCTGGTGAGTGACACCTCAGAATGGCTGCCACGGTAGGTGGAGTCAAAACCAAAACAGCTGCTACGGAGGCAAAGCCAAATGGAATACCTCCCTTCTCAAACGTCCTGGGAAGAAGGAATGCTTGAAGGGGGAATGGATCCACATACTGACTAAGAATAGCTCAGGGGTTTACCAGTCTTCCTGATCATCCAGTGAGTACCTGTTATTGCAGACTTGGAAAATCCTTTTGTTTCAATGAAGGCAACCAACCCCTGCCTCACAATGGACCACCCACTTTCTGAAAAGCCAAGGGAAGTACTGGCAGGTGCCCAAAAAGGACCCCGTTGGGGAACCCTGACTCAATCAGTAATCCACCAGAGAACTGACCACAATCTACGACATAAGACAAATAACTTGCCTGAAAAGGATGATCCGTATTCTCGCTTCAGTTCTTCGATCTTCTCTGTATGACTGGCTTCAAGTTCTATTTTAAAGTTTTCATGTGTAACAGTCAAGTCGTCAACCTGATGAGTGAGAACATCTATATTTTTCAAGACATATGAAACCGTTTCCCAATTTGTTTCTGGGCACAACTGACAGCGCTGGTTCTTATTTATCTTAGGGCGATTCTGCAATGGCTTTTCCCTCCATTGTCTTAGCAAACCCACGTTGGAACAGAAATTCCCTCTGCATTGCATGCTGCTTTCACTTTCTTTGATCATCGGGTTTTACTGTACCTTCTGCATAGATTTATGGCTCTTTATGGCCCTTCACCGGTGACTTTGCAGTCGGTACAGCATTGGCCCGGGGTATCTGAATGTGGTTTCTGAGCTGCAACTTTTCCTCAGTGTTGAGAAAATGCGGAGTGAATGCCAGATGCAGAACCAGCCTTAAACATTTTTATGCTGACTTGATTCTTGTGTGTAGAGACAGCATTTGCTTGCCTTATGTAAATGCAACGGCACTGTTGGAGACAATTACTTACACCATGTTGGAGGGTAAGCAGGGGAATGAGCCTCTAATAGTGTGGCTGATACTTATAGGTTCTACAGTAGCGCTGCACGAATGTTAGCATTCATGAAAATGTTGGGGAGTAAGCAATAAGCAGCCGTGAAAGAAAAATATCTGGGAACTCCATGCGCAAAACAGAACTCCCACACATGCAATGAGTCTGTGTCAGAGCACTTCACATGAATTTACATTGCATTCGATGCCTTGGCTCCAATACCAAGCACAACAACATCAGAGAGATGAGATACTATTATTCATTACAGGCATTGTTCAAGATGACTGGCTTCATCTTATGTTAATTTTAGAGACAGTAAATCTTCTGCTGATACAACTACAAGGAATTTCAAAACCTTCATACAAGAAAGAGATTCTAAAATGAATTCAAGCACTGTCAAGTGACAGTGACCTCAATTTTATTCAAGTGACACAATTATACTAAAAGGAGCAAAACTACTTTGAGCAATCAGAAAATGCCCATCAATAAAGAAACTGGAATACTGGAGCAACTCTCTGAAGCAAATGTATTTTCAGAAGGAGACACCTCCTGGATAATCCTCATTGGTCCAAACAAAAGCTGCATTACAAAAAGACCTGATGCATAAAGCTAACACCCAGCTCCAGCCTTGCTTATTGGTTTATTCACCCAACTGTCAGCCCCTGTTCTTGGACTGTCTACCTGCTCTTGGAGCTGTGCTTTATATTTTTCAGCTTCTTCAATACAGATAGTCTGTAGTTTTTCGCACTCTGCTGTGTAGAACTGCTTTAGCCTGTCCTCCAGCTCAGCTAGATCACTTTGGTGCTGCTGGTTCAGCTTCTGCACAAATCCTTCATAAGCTGCTTGAAGTTCATTCCGGTCTTTCTCCAATTTCTCACATGCTGTTGTAGCAGTTCCTAGAAATGAACAGATCGGTTTTTTTAAATGAAATATGTGATTAGAATGAACAGCGTTCAATAGCTTTAAAGACCATAACGTTCTTGGGTTTTTGAGAATGAGCATAGTCCAAATAATGCTTGGAAGTTCAGAACCACAGCTGGTTTAATGAACCATCAGGTATCTCTACAAGAGTTCTTCTGAGAAAGTCTTTTTTGAAGGCTCTCGTTTCAAATTAAAATTCCAGAATCAAAGATGAAGCTGTTCTCCCATTGAGGTGGCCAATAAATAGATCTAGCACATGTTAATTTTGATCTTTGTTTTACTAATTACTTCTGATTTAGTAAACAATTAAAAGTCAGATATTTAAACTCTTATCTTTACAAAGAGGATTACCCTGCATCACTGTAACACAAGAGAAGCAATTCAGCTTCAAACAAAGTAATGTCGGGCCTCAAAGGACTGCAAAATCAGTGTGAAAGGGGTGCATCTATTTCATTCTTCCTTCACTGGAGTGTACCTATAGAGTGTCTGCAAGGATATGGTTGCCCACAGCTCCTTAAAGATGTCTCAGCCACTGAAGAGCAGCTTGGCACCTGACAAACCGGCATTTTGCAGAAGTGACCTTTCACACCTCCAGAAACTGGGGTGGGTGGGTGATTTAATTTTTTTTCTTCCATATGTGCATGTATGCGCGTGCACGTGCATGTGAGTGTGTGTGCACCCGGAAGTCATGGTGACCTCTGGTGCCTGACCCCTACTGGGGGCCTGGAGGCTATTCAGAGAGGTGGCTGAATAAATCCTGATCCTGCCTCTGTTATTTCAAGGAGGTCTGCTTAGCTTCCGAGATCTGATGAGATCATGCTTGCCTGGGCTATCCAGGTCAGGGCCACACCTCCAGAAACAACTGCAGGAATGGATTTCAAACGACCTATTTCATGACATGTGAGTGTCACAGGTCCACAGGTGCTGCTATATAAATTCATTAACAGGAGAAAAATGAACAAGAGACTGTCATTCTTGACACTGGCTACACAGCAATGAACAGTCATGAAAAGTCAAACCCCAGGAATCCTTAGCGTTAAATCCTTATCTTGTCTGACTTAACAGACATAGGAGGGATACTTTTGTGTGTCAAGCCATCAATTGCATGAAAGGTCTTTTTGTACATTTCCCCTAGCAATTCTAGGGTTATTTACAAACCTCATTTCTCCGCAGTGGGGATACAAAGCAACTTACATTATTCTCCTCTCCTCCATTTTATCTTCTCCTCCATTTTATCCTCAACAACTATCGTGGGAGCTAGATTTGGCTGAGAGTGTGTGACTAGTCCAAGGTCACACAGCAAAACTCCACAGCAGAGTAGAGATTCAAACCCAGGTCTCCCAACTCCTAGTACAACACTACACATTATACCACACTGGCTCTGTCTCGAGACTGTTGCCCCATGAACAACTGCTGTACCAATAAAAGTACTGTTAGCAGTCAGACCCCTCCCTGCAGATAGGCAGTTTAGGGCATAAAGAGAGATAAACGCCCCTCTTTAATATCAACCCCAAATCATATGTGCACTGCTCTGCCTGGCCTAACAAGGAGAACAAAATGGAAACGGCATGAAACAGAAAATGGATGTCAGCCACAGACAAGTCTAGACACCTATTTTGGAAGGTGAGCCAGAATGGCTGGCCAGCTAACGACGTCCTCCCCACCCTAAGGAGATGCATAATTTAGGACAAAGGGCCTCCTGAGAAAGCAGCCTTCTCACCTTGGATTAATCTCACCTACACCCAGCCTTGCTTCCCCCTTGCCCATTTGCCCCCATTAGGCAATACTTAACACTATTCATAAAACCTGATTGTCCTTCCCATCCGGTATTTAGCGGGTCATCAAGAAACATTAGCACCATGAGCCCAACTCAGGGGAACCCGTCATGGGTTTCCCAAGACCTTTGTCCATCTCCCCAAAAGCCATTAAATCAGTGTTTTTAAGGCAAAACACGTCAGACAACCCCAGGGATTCTCCCCCCTGTAACTGTAGCTCACTGCTCCATAGCAGTGTGTGGGTGTTCTTGACATCACACCTCATACCCCTACTTGTGTGTGGGTCCTCTCCTCTTCTCCGGGAAATGCTGGCCATTTTGCTGCCTCCATGGACCTCATTCTTCTAGATTGTTTAATATCACCTCTCCAAAATCTCTCTCCCTGCTCCTCCCTAATTTCTTCTTAGCTAGTTGTGTGTTCTGTTTGTGTATTTTTGCCCTTTTATTATTTTTCAATAAAAAACTTCTAGTTGAATATCTGACTGGTTTATTTTGAGAGTTCTCTAAGGCAGGGGTGTCAAACTCATTTGTTATGAGGGCCGGATCTGACATAAATGAGACCTTGTTGGACGGGGTCATGTGTGTCATAAAATGTAATGCCAGGTAGCAGAGATATAAGCTTTATAAAGGACAGAAACACAGATTTTTTTTACTTAAAATAAAAACATGCTTAAAACATTAGCTCTGTAAGCTGCAAACCTACTTTTGATTTATTGACATTGACTACAGAAATTTCATGCTCAGAGTTCTGAGTCTAGGATCCAGGTTAAAACATGAAATGGCTGAGCGAGTGAGAGAGTCTGACAAAGCAAGCTATGATGCAGCAGCAGCAGCAGAACTGGAAGAAGGAGATGGCCAGTTCCACTGCGGGCCTGATGATCTGGCCCCCGGGCCACATGTTTGACACCCCTGCTCTAAGGGAACATCCTGGTACACATAGGTGGAGATCCCAGTGACCCCTCTCGCTGTGTCTCTGATTTAAGCTAAATTCCCCCAACTACTTAAGAGACTACCAATTTGGGTAACAGTACGGGGGATTTCCCCTTCAAAGGGTGCCAGGAATACTAATTGAACAGATGTTATTTGATACCAGGCTTTCTTGCCTTTCTTTCTTTTCTTTCCTAGAAAGAAAAAAAACTGCAAAATGCCCAAATATTTGCAACAAAAAGCTATCAAGTTTCAAAAACTCTAGCTTTGGAAGATATAAAAGCTTTCACTGGGCATAGTTATTAAGTCAACATGACTACTTATTCTTTTCATTCATTTAAGAGCGTTTCTAGGGTATCAGCTAACATGCTGCTGGACATACACACATAATAACTGCACTTGGAAGTGCTTTCCAGCAGAACTTACGACTGTTAAATTATTTCACAGGAACAGGCAGAGATCAGGTATCACATATACTGTATAAACTGATTTGGGGAAAGCAAAGCACAAAACATGAAAAGCACAACGCAGGCACTTCTTCAACCTAAAGCTTTACAGGACCCATAAATGTTGGGATATTTGGTGTCCTTTTGCTTCACCTCCAAGGGTCCACAAATGTTGGCTTGTCTTACTAGTGTTATCTGCTCCCCCTAATCCTTTGGGATCAGCTTGTCCAATCTCGTCACTGACAGATCTTGGAACCTAAACAGGATTGGTCCTGGCTAGTATTTGGATGGGAGACCACCAAGAAGTCCAGGGGCAAGATACAGAGGCAGGCAATGGCAAACCACCTCTGAATGCCTTGAAACCTTACAAGGTTGCTGTAAGTCAGCTGTGACTTAATGGCGACAATAAACAAATCAAAATCCTTTGGGTTGCCCAGAGGGATTGGGAGAGATGTAACTTCATCTCCTGATTCGTGCTGGTGTATTGACAAACGAAACAGCAGAAGTTTCTGCTACTGCAAAAAAGACTCCTGCTGTTTCTGTCTTGCCTACACTACAAAATGGGGGATTCTAGGAACGGGTACTGTAAGCGGCTGATGGTTCTGCTCGCTAGGCTCCTCTGGCAAGCAGAGTTGTGGATTCCTGCTTTCCACATGTAAATAAAGCTTCCACTAGGGGAACAGGGACAGCCGGGAACAAGTTATAACTGAACTCTGTACACACTCAGACAACATTCCAATAGAAAAATATCGAATGGCAACATGGCAGAAAAATCCCAATGCAATTTAAATGCATTACTATTCTACTAAAGAACTAGACAACCACGACGGTATAATCAATGACCTCGAGCCAGACATCCTGGAATGTGAAGTTAAATGGGCCTTAGAAAACATTACTAACAACAAAGCTAGTGGAGGTGATGGTATCCCAGCTGAGCTGTTCAAAGTCTTAAAAGATGATGCTGTTAAAGTGCTGCACTCAATTTGCCACCAAATTTGGAAAACGCAACAGTGGCCACAGGATTGGAAAAGGTCAGTATACATTCCAATCCCAAAGAAGGGCAATGCCAAGGAATGTTCAAACTATCGCACAATTGCACTCATATCACACGCTAGCAAGGTCATGCTCAAGATCCTACAAGCTAGGCTTCAACAGTACGTGGATAGAGAACTACCAGAAGTACAAGCTGGGTTTCGAAGAGGTAGAGGAACTAGAGATCAAATTGCCAACATTCGCTGGATTATGGAGAAAGCAAGAGAGTACCAGAAAAATATCTACTTCTGCTTCATTGACTATGCTAAAGCTTTTGACTGTGTGGATCACAACAAACTATGGCAGGGCCTTAAAGAGATGGGAGTACCAGACCACCTCACATGTCTCTTGAGAAACCTGTATAAGGGCCAAGAAGCGACAGTTAGAACCGGATATGGAACAACTGATTGGTTCAGCATAGGAAAAGGAGTACGACAAGGATGTATATTGTCGCCTTGCTTATTTAATATATATGCAGAGTACATCATGCGAAATGCTGGCCTGGATGAATCACAAGCGGGAATTAAGATTGCTGGGGAAAAGATCAACAACCTCAGATATGCAGACGATACCACTCTAATGGCAGAAAGTGAAGAGGACCTAAAGAGCCTCTTGCTCAGGGTAAAAGAGGAGAGCGCAAAAGTGGGCTTGAAGCTCAACATCAAAAAAACTAAGATCATGGCATCCGGCCCCATCACTCCTTGGCAAATAGAAGGGGAAGTCGTGGAAGTAGTGACAGACTTCACGTTCCTGGGATCCCAGATCACCGCAGACTGTGACTGCAGCCATGAAATTA